GTGCAGGGACCTGCTTGTTAGTTGTCGGCTGATCCCCAGACCCAGTGACCCTGTCAGTGTGTACCTCTTGCAGGCTCTTTGCTCTTCTGTACCCAGTTGTTGGAATGAGACCGTAGTGCTTTCAGTTGCCTTCCCTGGTTTTGATATCTAATACGCTCTGAAGGCTAGAAGTGGGGATGCTGCTGGGGGCCAGAAGCGAAGTGACCAGAAGGTGGCTGGCCAGTGTGCTTTTCTAAAGGGCTGTTGGGACCGGAGTCGTCGTGAGGAAAAGCTTGGCCAGAGGCAGCTCTGCAAAGGGTGCTGGGTGTGGGGCTTGGGTGGTTTCAGAAAGACTTGTCCTAATTTCCTTATCTGGGGTGGTTCACTGGGGGCAGGAGGGTCTCCTCTCTGTCACAGGGGTAGTGCTGAGCCAGGATTTTAGCCCCTTTTAATGGGGAAGAATCCAGGCTGCTTTGTTCTGAGCTTCATCCCTAGATGAGATGAGATTTTGTAACATTTGTCTTAGCCTCGTGCATTGCTTTTGTCTTAACGGTCTGACTTTCTCCCCTCCAATGCTAGGGATACACACAGGCAGTGGGGCCAGCAGCTGGTGGCTGTCAGAACCTGAGCAGAAAAAAAAAAAGTCCATTTTTATTTACTCTTTTTTACATGAAAATAAAAGCCCTATTTTTGAACGGGTGATTTTCTTGCTCATCTGGCTCCTACAAGAGGTCAGTGGTTTGTTCATGGGGAGGGGAGGCAGCTTCATGCATGTGCATGCTGCAGCTGGGCATGTAAATGGCTGCCCCTTCTGCCCAGCCTTTGTGCTGCTCTCCTGAAGAAGCTGCTGGTGCAGAGAAGTGGTTGTGTTGACATGGACCATCACTAGAAGGGGCCTTTTTTGCTGGTCAGGACTTCGCAGGTGCTATGGGGCCACCCTTCACTTCAGTAAAACCCACTGGGATGTGTGCCTTGAAGCTAGGTGTTCTCCTTCCTACTTTGCCTGTGCTGGAGTGAGCTGCTGGAGAGGTCTGACTGTGGCTGGAGGGACTGGTCCTGGCCTGCCTAAGGGTGTTAGGGTCAGGGATGTGGGAACAGACTTCAGCTGTGAGCAAGTGCTCAGCCTAAGAGGTAAAACACCAGTCAGAGCAATGTTTCAGCACACATTTATTGCTGCTCATTGTTTCCCTGCAAGTGGATCAGAACAAAGGTCCCTATTGCACATCAACAGATTTTATTTTTGGCATCCTTAAAAAAAATTGCGCAAGACTTCTTAACCCCCTTCGCCTTTCCCCTAGCTGGCTGCTGAATACACAAGTGAGATTCTTTCACCTAAATGATTGGCTATGGTTTGCCTGGGAGCCATGATGATGCTTCCTGGACATGGTCATGGTGGGGCTTGTGTGTCAGTAGACTCCTGCAGAAGAAGGAACCCCTTTGTGTGGGTGGCTTTTATGTTTGCTTACAGTGTGCAAGACACCCTAGAGTCAAAAACATACCTGGATGATCTTTGCAGAGACACTGTTTCTACTGCATGCAACAGATACTTGTGGCTGGATCTAATTTACCCATTGAACTGTCCCTCTGGGGTTTGGTCTGTGGGACTTCCTCAGCTGTTGCTGAGTTTTTCCAGCCAGGCAGTAATAATCCAAGCTGCATGGTGAGAATTTAAATAGTGAGTTTTTACAACTACAGTTGCACAGGGTGAATCAGAAAACTCCAAGCTCAGAATGCAGGGTGACACCTGCCTGGGGGTGGCAAGCTCCATGCCACCTTCATCAAATCCACGCTTGCCTTTTTGTGTTCTTCCCCATTTGTGAGGGGAAGCCCTTGGATGTAGGGGCTCTGGTGTGGTCCGTGTGAAGACTCCTAAGCTGTGGGTTTCCTTGAAGCCTCACGGACACCAGCCAGGCTTTTGAGGTGTTTGTGGTGCAGTGTGCACTCCTGCAATGGCAGGGGAATCTGCCTGGAAAGCCCCTGCTCTACCACTTCGCTTGGGACTGATGCAGAGAAGATTGGCTGGATGCTACAGCAGGACTGTGCTTTCCCTTGCCTCGTGAGGTGGGGAGCTGTGCTCTGAGCTAACAGGGTGCCCTGGGCTCTGCTGTAGCCACTAACTTAGCACTGCATTGCAGTGCCGCGGGAGGTGGCCATCCCTGCGGCAGCCCCTGTCCTGGGTTCCCCTGGGAGAGGTGATCCGGAGACCCTGTGTGTGTGTGTGAACCAATTGAGACCATGTCTGTGGAGCAGCAGAGGAAGGGAGTTGTGCTGGGCTGTGTGTGGATCAGGGGAAGCTGAGGAGAAGGTTTCTCCCCATGGCTGCAGGATGGTTGGTGGAAAGCAGCTGGGGTCGGATGCCCTCTCAGTAGACCCAGGAGATGGGCACCCACTGTGGAGAGCTGCAGGCCTGCTCAAAGGCTTCCTGCAGCACCTGGAGGCTTTCTTCCACCCCATTGTTGACCAGTGAGAGGTCGAAGTAGTGTGCGTATCGGCTCCGGATGCTCTCTGAATCCTTCTGGAGCTGCTGCAAAGCCTCTGACTGCAAGAAATGGGAGAGAGTGCTCAGGAGGCTGGGGAAGAGGGGAATTTCACAGCCCACCCCAACAGGCAAACTCCCTCCTACCACCAAAACAGCTCAAGTGGTTGCTAAGTATCAGAGCACAGAGCATCCCTGCAGCTTGTCTGACAAGCTAGGAGCTGTTGTGCGACCTCTGGGAGTGTGTGTCTGGGGGTTTTGCTGGACTTTTATGCGATGCTGGGAGCATCAGGTTATCTGCTAGAGTGAGGCCAGACCTGCTTGGTCTCATTTATCTTTAAAATGCTTTGTGGCAGCTCCCTGGGAGGAGAAGGTTCACTGAGCAGCAGGCTGCTCGTTACTATGCTATGCAGTGCAGCCAGCTCAAGGCCCAAGACTGGTTTCAAGGTAGGATCCCTGCAGGATGGTCCCTCCCCACTGGGTTTTGACCAGAACAGCGCTGGCTGGCAGAGCTGTACCAGCCTCTCTCTACTGGTTTTGGCAGCGATAGAGTTAAATTTCTTCACAGTAAAAGCAAAGCTGCCTGCCACCTCCTGCTGGTGTGGCTAGTCTGTACAGCTTTCCTGCTAGCAGGGACACAACAGCAAAGTCCAGACCAATTCCCACGTATCTCCCTACCAGAGCTTGAAACGCAGGCAGCTCCCTGCTTCTGGTGCAGGGAATGAGCTTGGGGTGCTGTGCTTGCTGCAGTGCTGCCGTGTGTTGTCTGGCAGCTCTTGGGGTGGAGAGAGGAGAGCAATAAGCAGTTTGCCTGGGTCATGTGAGCTCTGCTGGGTCACGTTTTGGCTCTGCTGCATCCCTTCTAGTAAGCAGTTACCTGAGCTGCGGCAGCTAGCTATATATAGTGCCTGCACCAGTGGGGCTGGCCCTGCCCACTGCGGCAGAAGTTAATTCCTCTGTCTGGAGGCAGTGGTGGGTGATGGGGCATGGAGGTGGGGGCAGCAGGCTGCCTAACTGCCCTTTCTGCCCTGACACTTGCCCCCCTTTTTGCCCCCCTTTTCACCCCCCTTCCACCCCCTAGCCTGCTGCATCTGGCTTTACAATGCTCTGCAGTTTGATGTGCCTCTAATGCTTGTGCAATGCTTGCTCTGAAGGCTGCATAAATATTCTCCCTGCAAACTATCTATCTTAAGCCTTACAAACCCCAAATTAATAGGTTGGGAGAGGCGGCCTTGGCTGGCCATGAGTCCAGGAAGAGCACAGTCGAGGGGTTTTCCCTGTTCTCCCGTTGCTTCCCATCTCCCTGCAGAGGTTAGCCCTCAGGGGAGCTAGTCCAGGCTGCGGCAGGGCAGGGTAGGCAGCACTGCTCCCTGTGTCAGGGGCTTCCTGGGAAATGGCAGCGTGTGGCTGCCAGCCTTGCGGTGCTTGGTGCTGCATGAGTTAACTGTGGTATTAGTACTGCTTTCATCCTAATTTTGGAGGGATGAGCATCTTAATGAGGCAAAGAATGAAAGGAGCTGCTGTTTGTGTGTCCCATTTGCATAGCTGATGGCAGAATAAATGTTCCTGCTCTGCAGCACTCCTGCAGCTGGAGACAGCCCTGGGTGCTGGGCTATGCACCCTGCTACATGTTAGTGGCCGATTATGCTGCAGGGATGATGGTTGTTGTGGGGGTGTCAATCTGGGAGGGAGTCTATGGCTGCAGGAATTGCCAATTCCTGTTTCTGAAGTCTGGGGTGAGGAAGTTGCCCTGCTCTCCTGGACCACAAAAATCAAACCAAACAGGAAGGAGCTGATGTGGAGCATGGAGAGAGCCCTGGGCTGCTGCCACGGGCTCCTCGCCCCCCTGCCATGGGCAGGCAAGCCTGGCCAGAGGGTGACTCAGCCTCAGCACCCTGCCACCCACCTGCTCTGCCTTGTCTGTTGGGGCAATGAAGACTATGAACGGGGAGAGCTCAGCCGTGCGGACAATCTTCAGGGTCTGTGGAGAGAGGGGTGTAGTTAACCAGTGTGGCCATTCCTCAGGGTGGGAGCTGTTCCCCATGCTGCCCCCCAGCCAGGGTGTGATGGTGCCCATGGTGCAGTGACGGACTAAAGGGGCCACTCCTAGTCTGGGGCCATGGGCCTTCCGGGTGGACTCCTGAGCTTGGGGGGGTAGTCAGGTGACGGGGGGCAGTTGGATGATGCTGGAGCAGGGGTCCCAGCATGGCTTCCTCTGCACCTCGTGGGGGAGGACATATGGGCATTCCCAGACCTGCTCTGGGCTGGCTACTGGACACAAGCACCACTTTGCGAAGCAGCACCCACATGCTTGGTGTTGGAGAGGGGAAAGACAGGGCCCGTGCTGGCCCTGCACCCCTACTCCCATGGCAGCCTGGCCCTGGCCTTGCTGTCACAGCCAGGTGCGTGCTGTGATGGGGAATACCCTTACTGCACCCGTGTCTTGGGAATGCAAATGCCACCCCAGCACTCCCTGGCCTTTTTC